AATGTGACATATCCTGCCTTTTGCAATTGAAATGCCAGAAAGGTGCAGCCTCTGCTTTTAGCACTGCAGACTCAACCTCGTAGTAGAGTCCCAGGACTGCTCAGGATTCAAAATGAGGACCTGAATGTCAACTGAGGGGACCACCTAACTCAGAATACAGAAGACAATAAAAAGTCTCACCCCTCCCTCCAGCCTGAGAGCGCCCAGGATGCATTCAGCTTGCAAAGTGTCTGGGACAGAAAGGCCTTGCTTTAAAGGAGCAGCCTCATTTCTGAAGAGGCAGGAGACCTAGACCCTTAATTGGAGGCTAAGCAAGGTCCCTCAGTGCTTAAGAGGAGGCTCCTGGCAAAAGAGGGACCACACACAGCCTACCCCAATTTTCAGCACTGGGAGCCCCAGGACAGGGGTAGCCCCAGGACAGGGGTAGCCCCAGACTCCCCTGTAGAAAAGTGAGGGCCATACTCTGAACCACAGAGCCCCACCTCTGCTTTCAGGTGGACTCAGGGTAGGAGAGGGAGGAATTCCAAGCCCTGCCTGAAGGCAAGGCCTGAAGCCTAGGTGAGGAACCAGGGCACCATCTAACTGGGAACTGTGGCGTCTCTTAGCCTAACTGCACACACCTATTGTTCCTCAATCAGTGTTCACATGGTGTGGCTCACTCTGATGTCTAAATATGAGGTCTCAGGAAAGGGCAGTCTTTGGTCAGCAGAGAAGTGAATCATAGAAATGGTAGAGTCATGACATGATTGAGGTACTGAGGACCACTAAACCCCAGTGGGGAGAGCTGCACTAAACCTCTTTCTTGCCATTAGCCCTGGGAGCCCCAAAAGAATTTCGGAGGTTAAGTTGCTCTTGATTTCACCCTGGCAGACCTCAGGGAGATGAAATCCTTGGATTAAGACTGGTTGTCCCAATTCAACAGAAAGAGGAATCCCAGAACTGAGTGGGACATAAGGAACTAATCTTGAAAGGAGAAAGATGGAATTAGCGCCTTTTGAAGAGAAGTAGCAGCCCCAAATCCCCCTTCTGCAGTTGGCCCTGGGAAGCTATGGTGAAAGGTGTCAAGCAGAAAGACCTCCTGGTTGGTACCTGGGGGTAGGTCGTCTCAGGGATGTGAAGTCCTCGGATTAATGGAGAGGCCTGTTCAGCAGAGGCAGGAGACTTGGTCCCTAATAGAACTCATAACCCCATCTGAACATCTCAGTTGTCCATGTATTTATCTGTACCCTGGTGTTTAGTGTTAGAGGCAATGCAGTATTGGGGAATATAATGGTATTAGAGTCTGTCATCTATGTCTTATGTGCACAATTTGGTGTCCTCCCTTTCCCCAATGTTATCATGATGGTCACAGACTCATTCCATACCATCCCTCCCCTTACCCTACTCAGCATGTGCCCCTCAACTAGTCTGAAAATTTCCCATACCTTTCACTCCCATCCCCGGTAACCTACAAAATGAGTTCCCTTCCCTAAGCAAACCCTTCTTTGAATTTTTACAGGATTGGGCTAATAAAATATTTGTCCTGTGATTGACTTACTTTACTTAACATAATGTCCTCCAGGTTCATCCACATTGTGAGATGATTCACATATTCTTCATTGTTCTTTAATGTAGCATAGTATTCCATTGTGTGAATGTACCATAATTTGGTTATCAATTCATCTATTGATGGACATTTAGGTTGTTTCCATCTCTTTGCTCTAGAGAGTTGTGCTGCGATGAACATGGGTACGCAGATGTCTGTTCATGTTCTGTCTCTCACCTCTTTAGGATATATTCCTAGTAATGGATTTGCTGGTTCAAATACTATTTCTGTTTTCAGTTTTTTAAGGAAACGCCATACCATTTTCCACAATGGTTGTGCCATTTTTCAGTCCCACCAGCAGTGTATGAGAATTCCAATCTCTCTGCAACCTCACCAGCATTTATTTTCTGTCATTTGAACTTTCTGTTATTGCTGGAATGAAATGGTATCTCATCGTTGTTTTGATTTGCATCTCTATAATGGCTAATGATCGTGAGCAGTTACTCATGTGTTTGTTGTCCACCAGCATATCATCTTTGGTAAAGTGTCTGTTTGTGTCCCTTGCTCATTTTTCAATTGGATTGTCTTGTTGCCATTGAGGTTGTGAAGGTTTCTATAAATTATGGAGGTAAGCCCTTTGTCAGATATGTCATAGGCAAATGTTTTCTCCCAGTCTGTAGGTTCTCTTTTTACCCTTTTGGAGAAGTCTTTCAATGTGCATAGCAATTTAATTTTTAAAAGGTCCCAGTCGTCTAGCTTCTCTTCTACCTACTGAGCATTCTGGGTTATGTTTGATAGTCTATTAATGCCATAAATTAGGGCCCCTAGATTTCCCTTTATTTTATCTTTGATTAACTTTATAGTTTCGGGTTTTATGTTTAAGTCTTTGATCCAACTTGAGTTTGTTTTTGTGTGTGGGGTGAGATAATGGGTCTTGTTCCATTTTTCTGAAAGTGGATATCCAATTTTGCCAGCACCATTTGTTAAAGAGGATATCTCTTCCCCATTTAATGGGTTTTGGTCCTTTGTCAAAGATCAGCTGTCCATAGATGGATT